TAAGTAGCCTATTTCTTCCTCCGGACGTTCTACTACTGTGCCAAATTTCATCAAGATCAGTTGAGCTGTTCCGGAGATACCTTCAAACAAACATCCATCCGTTAATAAGATTTGAATATATTCAATCCATTGATAAGTTTTACAAAACCTTAGGCGCGATGACAATACATAATTATTTCGATAATCATCAAAATAATTAACAGTTTTTTCAAATAAATTTGCACAGAAAATCTACATTACTTAGTACATTCTCATACAACTATTCGTGTCTCTATAATTTGATTAATACTAACCATGACATAAATCTATCATTTATATAATTTAAACAGATTACCGCTGCGCTTATTGAAATTACACTTTATTGCCTGCGAGTTAGATGCATAATTGCTTGTATTCTATAAATTGATGTCGCATAGCTCAATAATCTGAACATTTACGTAGCGTTTCGCATGTTTGATTTAAAATGTATGGAATATTTGTGCAATAAATAATCCGTTCCTTACCTTTACTATTCCCCATAAATAATAATGAAAATCACTAAGAAATTATAAAATATTGTGGATAAACTTACGGTTAAAGTGGTTTCGTACTTATAATTATGATTCTATAGGTAACATAGCTGTCCGCGACGCCGTCCGCGCTTGATTAAGAAAATAACATAATTAGTAGCCTACATGTTCTTCTAGACTATGCCAAATTTCAGCGAGATCCATGCAGCTGTTCTGGAGTTTTTTTTATATCAAAAGGTTGCAAACGAGCGAGCGGCCACCTGAAATCGCTAAAATAGCGAAGTGACCGTTGCCCATAGACATACGCATTTGCATATGCGTTGCCTACCTTAAATCGACGGAGGAGAGGATGCACAGAAAGAAAATATCTTCCCTTTCCATGCATCCTCTCATCCGGAAAGTCCATTTCTACTTCCCATCCTTTCCTTATAAGAAAAAGGGTGCGAAGGGAAAGTGGACTAAATTAGGCCTCCGGGACGCACACTCATCAGACAAAACGCGGAATTGCTTCACGCCTGTCTTCTGTGTGGTCGTGGTATTTCACCGGGCGAGCCGGGCCGATTCGTGCGAAGATGTTAAAGCGGGCTCTACCACTGTTGAACTCTAAACCATACATCTATCTATCCATACATACATCCAAACATTTCCATTTATAATATTATTAAGATAAGATAAATTAAAAAGTATTCTAATATTGGAAGTATAATAAGAAATTAAAAAAGAATTTAATTGGAAAGTCCGTTCGTTTTTATGTAACGAAAAAAAAGCGTTGAGAAACTTAATAAGCGAGGGCAGGGTGTCTTGGCACGCGCAGAGATCGTTACAGTTCATTAACCTCACCTGCCTTAGCGGAATGTTCTTATAAGTATCATGTTCCAGTGCCGGAGACAAACTTCCGCCTCATCCAGAACAAGACTGACGACGATACTGTCAACGTCATATGCGCTGCGGACGGCGCCTTTCCGGCACCCAACCTCACGCTCGCCACGCCAGAGAGGTAAGCGTTTTTATATGTACATATGTCACCATCATATCAGATTTTTTATGAACATTAATTTTCACTGTTGTTGTATTTTTGCTAAATAAACAAACGACTGTTGTTATATTCAGTTGAATCGTTTATTAACCAGCGTTTAAGTCGAAAGGATAGATAATAGATTGAGAGATATTGCCTTTAAAAATAAAATAGTTGTAATGAAATAGCTAGATAATTTCTATCTAAATATATAAAAGGAATAAAGTTAGATTTGATTGAAATATAAAAGTCGATAGAGTATCGTAACGTGTCGAGGTCATATAAAATCGAAGACGTGTGCTCCACACAGCAATTGGCTTAGGGCAATTGCAGGTTATCGCGGCCGGCCTACATCGCGCCGTTTGCTCGCGTGATCTTACTTACTTTATTGCGTTGATTACGTAAGTAGCCACTACATTGATGCAAATACAACTTTACAATAAGGTTGGCCATATGCTACAGTAGATTTATATTATTGAGGAAAAGCTGACTTACAAGAACCTGAAAAAAAATTTCATTCGATTAGAGATTTCCCTAGTTGAATGGACAACATTTATAAGAATGTAACTTAAAAAGCATGTGACATGTCGAAAGTTATTATCAGGTCTATACACTTTGGACTATAAGGCTGATACATGTACTACATTTCGTCGAAGTTCTAGTCTTGGAAGTTTTCTCTATAGGCGTTAAAATTAAAGTTACTCTCAAATGCAAGGAAATATTTGAATTTATTAATTACTATCACCATTATTATTATAGATAATTCGTCTATCGTCATTTTTTTAATTTCTGTTCCTTCGTGCATTTATTTTCAAAGAACATAAGACGAACAAGTGTATGTACTCAAGAGAAAGACAGAAAAATTTTCATTGTTTTCTCCGAGCACTTATTTCATGTTAATACGTACGCTTGAATATATTGTCATATATATATTTCGCGGTACACGTTTCTTTGTTGTTAAGTTTCCCACTTTACAACGATATTTGTTTTAAGAAAAGAAGAAAACGGTTACACACATACGACTTATACCTGAGCCTCGGGAGACATTGCTCAATTGAAATATGTTTTATAGTTTTTAGTTTATTTTTGAAGAAATGTTTACATAGAAATGTTTATCTTTATGTCATAAAAATAAATAGTTACATATTAAAATATTAGAATTTATTTTAATTAAAAAAATATAGAGAACTCCCGCATAATTTCTATTTATTGGTGAAGTACTTTGTAACTTATACCTATTTCTTAAATATTAAAAAAAAAAACCTTTCGTAAATTATACCAAGTAGCCAAAGGATGATATATGAAAATCTACTCACATTAAATATCATAGGGTAAAGACGTTTTAAGGCACAAAATATCAAAGTTCACCTTAAAGGTAATATTCAGCCTATTTTCAGCCCGTTTCATTTACTACCAGCCGAACAAGCATATGGTTTGCGTAGGACTATGACGCATATTTAGAAATATTGGTCGAATTCATATCATCATATCTTCGAGGGCGTATGTGATTGTACCATCGTTTATTTTACCTACTTTGTTGATTATTTTGACAATGGAATAATAGCTATGGTATAACAGTTCATATGAAATAAACTATATCTCTCTCTGTCTCTCTTTATCGCTCTCTCTCTCTCTCTCTAGCTTGTATTCCATATGTTTTTGGGGTCAGCTTTGTTAAATCTTTTCTACTTTGTTAAATCTTTGATATATTCATCTGAGACTTGGCAGTCACTTATGTCTATCAGTATTACATATTTGCATCTTAATGTAAAATGTTAAATAAAATGTAAACTGTACTATAAAATTTATATCATGATATATTTTTGTCTTGTTTTATTAACAACTTTTGTTTATCGAAGAATTGGCGTATTCTCTAAGATATATTAGTGTAGGGTACAGATTTTACATCGTCTATATATTTCTCGAAGCTTAAAGAATATTTGGCAACATTTCTACAGCTCAAGATTAAATCCGATTTAAAGCTACCACCTGGTGCACCTTACATTGAGTTTCTTATTTAAAAGTATGCTTTTAAAGGAAATTCCATCGTATATAATTTTTGAAGTTGATATAAAAATAAAATTATTTTTATTTATTATTATATACATATTAAATCACCGATACATTGTATATGTTTGATTTAAGCATTATATACATAAAAAAAAACTTTCAAAGGACATTTAATATGAATTAAACATACCACAATACAGTCTTTGTTTGCTTTATTTAAATCCCGCAAAACTATTTTAAAATTATCTGTACAACTCATCATAATCAGCTCACTATACGTCCCCATCGAGGGGCTCGGAGCCTACCTTAAGTTAAGGGTGATTAGGTCATAGTCAACCATGCTGGCCAATTGCGGGTTGGTTGACTTCACACATATCTTTGAATTTCTTCTCAGATATGTGCAGGTTGCATCACGATGTTTTCCTTCACCGTAAGAACGTCGGATAAATGTACATATGTAAATCGAAAATCGAAAAACACATTGGTACATGGCGGAATTCGAACCCAGGACCTGCAGATTGCAAGTCAAGTGCTTGACCACTGAGCCACCGACGCTTTATCTCTTTATCTGTACAATTATGCTTATCAAAATATATATTTTTAAGGCGACTGGATGGCGTGTCCCATGACCTCAAACTGGTGAATGGCAGATACTCGACAGTGGCTTCTGTGACTTTACTTGATGCAGATTTGCCCTCTCCAGCTGAGTTCATCTGTACTTTGAGAATACCCTTAGCTAAATATGCTGTAAGAAAAGAAGCCATTTATTATCCAGGTAAGAAGATGTATTATATTTATGTATAAAATGTTTCCATTTACTTATAATACCTAGCAATAATCTTACTAATATTTTAAATGAATATGTAGATGAATGGATGGATGTTTGTTTGAAGGTATCTCGGAAACGGCTGCACTAATGGTCTGGAAGAACATTGGCTACTTATTAGGTTTGTTTTTAATTCCGCGCGGACGAAGTCGCGGGCGACAGCTATTTATCTTGTTTCGCTATATCAGTTATTAATTGATTTAAATCATAAAGTATCGTTTATAAATCTAATTAATTAATCGTGTTCATTTGTTATGCTAGGTTGGTCAATGTGGTTTTGAGGATATCGCAATTATTAATATCGCATTTTAAATTATAAAGAAGCTCACATTCTTTTAACTATTATTGAATTGAATATTTTGTCTGATTCTTTTAACCATCTGCTAGTTTACATCGATAGATATAATTATTTACCTTTTCCGTACGTAATGGTGAAATGGTTGAAATAAATAATATCATAATATAAAGACTATTAAAAATATACAAAAGGTGGAAGAAGTGAGTAGTTGGATACAATTTTAATGAAATGCTTGTTTATATTTTCTCTCCACTTGCAAATTATAATTTTAAAATAACGATAAACATCTCTGAAATATGCAAATATATAATTTTAATTTCCTCGTTTAAATACGGGAATGCATTGAATTACTTTAGTATTTGTGTAAAATTTTCCAGAGAAACAATTGTTGCGACTTTGTTAACATAATTTTGTGCTCTTTTTAATGGCGCGGAATTTGTTAGAGCGCTGGAAGGATAAAGCCCCGACGACATAAACAGAAAGCTGTTTATTTATTTAAAACAAGCAATTTAACCGCTTTATAAGTCAAATGGCGTCATTAAACCCGCGAAAAAGAATAAGGCGTGCGAAATGTAGATTTTTTTTTCTTTCCCGAAGGCTCGAAAATAACAATTTTGCAGAATAATTTGCGAAGGCCTTTTAAGCTTTTTATCAACGGGAAGTCCGTGTACACAGCTATCTAAACAGGAGGAGCGAGATGAAACATTTCCTGCAGCATTCCCCGTGAATAATTTTATGCTCCGTTAACTTCATTTTATGCGAGCAAAAAAATCCTCTAATAGAAAATTAGTGGGTAAGGGAAAACACAAACACTTTTTCAAAGCGACCGCTCCTAGTCTTAATGAAAAGTCAACAGGGAGCCAAGTCGAGCGGAATTTCAACTGAAAAATAATTCACGCTAATTCTTAATGTCAGAAGATTCATAATGCGGATAGCGTTTTATTAGACGATGAAAAATTGAAATAGTCTTTTGCAAGCAGCCTTTTGTTATTTTAATACGGAGCATAATCACAAAAAAAAGAATACGAAAATATCTATTTGATCCGGACGGTTACTGCTTTAAATTTATATCTCATTTTGGACTCCAAATGATATGTTCTAAGATAAATATTCACACACATAATTCACGACCATAAATATCTTATTTAATTTCTTATGTATTGTGTAACCAATCATTTATTTGATTGTCATCAGGGCCAATCAGTACTACTCCAGAGATGCCGACAGCTGCCGACATGCAACTAGCAGCGGCTGTAGGATCAAAAGGTAAGATAAATTATGTGATATGTTTCACAAAAGTATACGACTTACATTATTAAAACTTTAATCAATTTTTAATAAATTAATTTCCACAAAGATTAACATAAATTCTAGTTAAAATATGCATACGTTGAAGTTTCACCACTAACATAGTTGTATTAGAATAACATTTAAATTAATCATTTTAACGATATTAGCGACACATTTTAATAACAGTTAAAGAAAATATTGTAGCACGTTACAACCGTAGCAGTTCGTAGAATATGATTGTGCTACGCTGACACACTGGCTATTCGTGGAAATGGTTTATTTGTATGTAAACTTCATATAAAATAATCGGATTATAAAAAATAATTACTCAATCGAAAATGTTACAGTTGCTAAGGTAACATCGTTTCAGAAATTCGATGTTGATATAAGCTTTTAATACACCTAAAGTAGTAATACTTAGATTTCCATTCAATCAATACGCCATACGTAAAACGTTTTATACCTCTACGCCGTATCCGCGTAGCATCTAAATACCTGTAACTAATGAACAAAATACATCTTCCAGGAACGAGTACGTACACAGCGATGACGTTGGTGTTGCTGCCAGCATTGGCGCAGTCAATACTCTCTGTTAAGTGAACAGTCACTCATTGTACAAGGTAAGTGTTACTTTTAAATAATTAAATAACTTTTTGTTAAATAACGGTGTGGTCACAATAAGTAATCATCTATATTAATTTAGATTAGCAATATGATAATACTGAATTGCTTTTCCAGACTTTATATATTCTAGGACTAATGAGGAGTAAAATAAAAGAATTGTTTTCTCGTCTTACGATACTAATATTTTCGTTTCAAATACTTTGCCATACATTTTGAAATAACTTTTATTCATATAATGATATATATATGTACTCTAACTATCAATATTGTTTCAGACAGCACGCGAAACATCGAGCGCACTGAGTGACGTAGCAAGTGGCACCGCAGCTGTTCTAGTCATAACGCCCAAAGCTCGCACCATCCCACACCCGATAACGGTGACAGCTAGTCTAAAACGCCTGTAGCACACAGCCGCGAAAGCGAATCAAAATCAAAGCGATAAAGATATAATAACGAAGCGAAAACGTAGCTTAATGTTAGATGTGTATTGGTGTAGTAGGCCTGTATGCATAAACAGTTCACGTACAGGCATAAAATCGGTGAAATTTTCATTATCGCTTCGCCTCCGTTTCTCTTTTGCAGCTGTGTGTTGCTAGCGTTATAGTAGATTCGGCTTTATGTGTACTATCTAATTCGAGAAACAATAATTGCGTGTTAAAATACTGAATTATACATAGATATATAAATGTACAGCTCTATTATATGAATTTTCATATTTCAGAATATTTTTCTTAACGTCAAATAAACGGTAGGTATAATGTTGTAAATATCGTCCCTTATATTTATTGTGTACAGGCAAGTCGATGGAATAGAAATTTGCAATTTTTTGGCCTAAGGTTGATTATTTTTAGATAACATTGATGTGTTAATTAGATTATTAATATAATTATTTTAATCGTATCCGTAATATAGCACTGTTGCTAAATTGTTTTTAAAACATAGTTCTTTGAAAATATTATATAATTATATATTGTCGCCAAACAAATAAATTAATTGAAATTATGTTTAAAACATTTCGTTAAATAAATATTAGAATTATTAAATAAATGTTTTTAAAACAAATTTCATGCAATAGCTTTTCACGTAATTAAATCATATTTAAATTCATTATCGGCATTATACTTATGTGTACAAAATCTAGAAACTTCTTTTATATTTTAAAGAGGGATGCTCCCTATATTAACAGGGTATCGCATTTTCTTTTGTTTTAAGTTACGCGTCACGGTTCTATATGAATTTATTGACAATATTATGTAAATCTAAATTTAGGAATTGCCCTTATTCTATAAAATTAAATTGTCGCATCATTCGCTGTGTAATTTTCTTTTTAATGTTATATAATAACGCTTGGAGCATATAGTTAAAAAATAAAGCATACCTATTCACGAATAAGGGCTCATGTAAATATTTGTATGGAATTTGTATGTACTGTAAGATTTCTTTCGTGTAAAGGAAAATTAATAGCGCATTTGCTGTGCATACCGCAGTTTATGGATACGATCCAATAAAGACTTTATTGTGAAAAATTCTTAACATTAATAAAAACGGACGTTGTGTACTTCGTCTTTTATTGAATTGAACCTCGATCCATAAGTTTTTTTTAAACTGATTACTAAAAATCCTAAGAACACACTGTAACTACATAAGCAATTTGTCCGATTTAAGACAGTTTTGCTTGAAGGGACTTTATGTATTCGCGATATATTATGTCCCGGAATTTTGTTCGTCGGACTTTTTTTTTGCAATTATTGCTTACTATTCTGTTAGACGACAGTTTATATATGTACAGACATAACGCTAGATCCATTTTATTATAAATAGTAATACTGCTGGCGCAGTATATTTTTTGTGGGATGTATAAAAATAAACTATTCAGCATAATGACCGCGGTCTGTGGATACCACAGTCAATCAAATAAATGCCGTAACGTATAGAAATTAGAAAACATTTTCGGATGCATTAGGTAGTTCCCGTGAGTTTCGGACTTATCGTTGAATAATAGATGCGCCGGCTCCGTTCCCTGGACGAATTACCCAACTAAATTATTGAGCACGCCACCTCTGACCGCCGGTATACGAAATAAATCGCTATCGTTACCTGTACCATTGCCGAGAAGTTAGAGTCAATACGATGTGCCGTCAGATCGACGCTTTGCTAATACTATAACAACTATCTGTCAGAATAAAAAAAATACAGTAATAGGGAAAAATTAAAATTTAATACAAAAATATCACTGATATATAATATGTATAGATGAAGTGGCTTATCTGATGGTTTATTGGTAGAAATAAAATGGTTAAATTAAAAATAATTACTATGTTTGTTGATGAAAAAATGTTTTCCATAAAAAACTTCATCCGCGTTAGAAACAAGAAAGTAAGGAAATCCATCCACATCATTTCAGCAGTTACAGGCTGACTTATGGTAAGTTACGATGATTTTAACTTAAACATAGCGAAAGTTTATTTATAGAAATCACTTTGACTTAGCTTGTTATACTAAGTAATGGTTTATGACCATAATCGGAGGTTGAATTTGAATTTACTATGTCAAATTCCGTGCATATTCACCAATAAACACCTGAGCTGTACAACTACGTACATTGCCGTGGGACCTGTCCAAGGAGTTTCGATACTTTTCAATTATGTCACATAGAAAAGTAAAAAAAAAATTCACTTTTTCAAAGAAATTTATATTGTTGAATATGAACAGAAAAGACAACTATATAATAAAAATTTTGACATATCTAAAAAGTATAAATGATTTCTTTCTTTTCTATGTGACATAATTGAAAAGTATTAAAACTCCTTGGACATACCGGCCACCGAAGATCTTTGTATTTATAATATTATAGACCGGCCACCGTGGGGAATGTTTTAAAAAGTATAAATGATTTCTTTCTTTTCTATGTGACATAACTGAAAAGTATTAAAACTCCTTTGTCAGGTCCTATGTAAAGTGTCCGAAGTGAAACTTTATTGTAGAGCAGTTTAAAAGAAAGTAACCCATTGTGGTAATCATTTTTAAAACAGATTCGTTGGCAGTTTCACCCATATACGTAGGAGTCATCGGTAAAGATATAATTATAAAATAGACTAATAATCATACTTGAACTAAATTTTAACACTTCTTCGCAATCTTTATATTGCAATAGTCAATGTTTTTAAGGTTGCACTCGAGGGATATTCCAAAAGTTATCTGTAAAACAGCAAAGTGACCGCCGCCCATAGCGTCTGTAAGAAATAAGCTGGACGATGAATACTTCATGCCCTTCTCCAATGAGGTTGTGGCATATAATAAATAGAAGCAATATATGTCGGTTTGCATGCTCTATCATGCTATCAATGTATTATAGAACCTGTGAATCTCTTATTCTATTAGGTCTTATTCGAAATTTTGTATGTTTAATTTAATATGATAAAACAGTTCTATGACGTCTCCATTACTCTAACAGCTCCGTCATAACTCAGAGCCAATATCGCACAACTACTTTATGAATGAGAATATTTCACCTCCAAACGTGTTACGACCTTCCACTTGTAATTCTGTACGCGGGCCTATGTGCTGACGTCACTCACCTGCTTACTTTGATCTTCTCTTATATCATTCAAGAGTATGCAGAAATAATATAATCTGACTGACAAAAAAATGAAAAATGATTTATTGCTTAAACAAAAATGGTACGTACTAATATTTGTGCCAGGACTTCTATTTAAGCATCCATAACGGGCTTGTGATTGGAAGTCCCGGTCTTCTGTGTCACATAAACAGTATCAATGGTACCTTCTTAATCTATATAATATAAAAAAAATATACTTTAACAAACAAAACAAAAGTATAAAGAGTTGATTAAAAAGTAAAAATAAGCAGAAATGATAGAAATAACAGAAAAACACATTTGTTTAATTTGATGTGTATGCAGTATAGGTCTATTGATTGCTGTGGAAGTTTGGAATTGCAGAAGTTTGGTAACACACTCAGGCGAGTAACCATATTAGGTATGACAAACAATTTTCCGTTGAACAAGAGAAATTTGATTATGGCAATTACAATAATGGCCCCGGCTCGCATGGTAATGAGCATCGTTAATATTATCACTCTCGTGAGAGCACTTGCGGCGATGCGCGGCCGAGATAAACTGATTGATGGCCGCGGCAATACCATCGCGCATAGATATTTATCTTTATAATTTATACCAAGGTGGCTTGCCTACCAGGTGTTTACTAAATGAAAACTTTTTAGTAAATTAAAAAATTTGTAAACTTTTACTTTAACAAGAGAAGAGGCTCACTGTATCGACTATATAAAATATTAAACAAATGATAAATCTGTTATGAGTTGAAAGATAAAAATCTGATTTCATTTATTGCTCAAATCTCAAATAGTATCTTCATAACTCACAGTCAATATAAGGAAACTAGTTTATGAATGGTTATATTTCATTTCTCGTCGTGATACGTCCCTCTATTTGTCATTCCGTGCAAGGTGGCCACTTCTACGTGAGTCAAGCTTACGCACACACCTGAACACGGATACTTATGTTCTAGAAATGTTACGATACAAGTGGTCCTGAAAATAAATGTAGATAATTTGTAACTTCAATAGTTTATACGTTATTAATATAATTTAAAAAGATAGCTAAATAAGTAGTTAAAATAATTAAAAGGGAAAATCAAATTTATTTACTTTCATTTTAATAATGAATCCTTAGAATTACAGGATAAAATCACAAATATAAGAGTAATTAGGAATCACCCCATGTTTTATGTTAAAATTTTACTACTTATGTATTTTATCACTATACACCAATATGGGATAAAATGTTTACCGTATCTGTATCAGCAAAAGTAATCCATCTAGCACAAAAGCAATTCTTATCTTTGTCGAGACGTCTCATTTGTTTTGCACGACGCACGTAATAACACGATCAAAGCGTATGAGAATTTTGACAGCACGACGTGACGTGTAAACTTGAACAGGGGCCCAAAGTATAACCCGGCCAAATTGAGTAATGAACTGTAAAGAAAAAGTAAAGGAAGGAAACCCTCCAGTTTAAATGCTATTAACCATATATTCCCATGTATGGATATGTTAGACAGCTTGCCTTCAAATACGTTTTAAGAGTATGTAAAATTTTTCATACTACGTTCATCAATTACTTATTTACTTATATCTTTATATAAGAAACGATTGACCTGAACTTATCAAATCTAACCGATGGAAACTAACACAAAAGAGAGAACATATTTTGTGTTGTAAATCGAGGGTTCGCAGTAATTTATTTTCAATCCTAACTTTCCTTAAGAACCAGTATTAAACTTACGTCTCTATTTTTATTATATCGTGTATTTTTTGACATGAAGCTTTAATTGTATAAAACTTCACAATAATTTCTTTCGAAATTCAAAAATACAAGCCGTATTTCGTTCGTGATCGTTGAAAAAAGAACGTCGTCAGAAAATATTTGAAAAAAGGGACTACAAAATGTTGATATGGATTTTGCAATAAACGTAGCCGTTAGTCCTCATAATGTAGGCAACACATGCGAGACTAAATTTGCAAGCTCTGCACATTCATCATACACTCTGGACATGGCTTTAATGGATTTATATCTCTCTCTAAAATTTATCAACTTGGAACCGTAACATGGTCCGGTGAATTTTGATCTTTTGTTCCAATTTCAGTTACGGTTATTTTTAACGTTGTTATTCCATTTTGTACATTTGTTACACATCTAAATTGGTTTGCAGTAAACTAAAAATTAATCGATGATAGTAGTTTGAAACACATATTATTCAATTTCTGTTTTTGGCTATTGAGATATGACGTTAAATGTCACACTCAAAATCGTTTGAAAGTAATTAAAACAGTCCCTTAGAATTTCGCAATATCTACGGTCTCCTTTAGTGATTTTTTGTTGTTTTTTTCTCCTTAATTCTTTTTTCACATTTATA